CATCACTGGCATCCATCCTGAGTGTTAGTGCAGGGTCACTGGTGGAGGTGTTTAGTTCGTACACACCCCAACCCAAGAGGGTTCATTAACATTACGGCCAAAATGACTGTCCTGTCTCAATATGCAAAAAGTGTGCTATGGCCCATCAGGCCACATATGACTGGTTGTGGAGCTGGTGTGCTAGGCTCATAGGTAATGCCCCATCTAAGTTCTCCCTACTAATTATATGATAGAACAACAAAATATCAATAAATAAATCCTAACATAAAAAATAAGCATAACAGGAACTATAATTGGATAATATTATAATACTAAATATAGTTCCTGTTATGCTTATTTTTTTATGTTGGGCTTTATTTAGGCTTTTTTTATGAGTGCTTGACCCGGTAAGGATAAGTTTATTGGGCACTGGCAGTGGAGGCTGAGAGCACGTGACAGTATTCAGAGTGATGGGGACGTGGTCCAGAGAAGCATCCTTCAAGGTACTACACAGCTGATGGTCTGCATTACCTACTCCACAGGCCAGCAAAGGAAGGAGTGATATGCTGGAGTTGAGAGGATTCCAGAATGCTGCTTGAAATGAAAAATGATCATATTTTACTAAAAAATTCAGAAGCTAGATTTTTATGTCCTTGTCATATCATAAGGAATTTTTATTCCTGCCATAAGTCTTACAGTATACTACATTAAGGTCTATAATATTTTAGCAAGGGTACATTAGATTCACATGAACAGCTGAAATTACAGCATGATAATGTATAAAAAGAGAAAAAGAATTTGTTTAAAAAAATAAATATAAGGATACAAAATATGAATTTATGAATGGAGAATATATATCTTTGGCCATTTTATAATATCACTAGAGGCCTGATGCACACAATTTGTGCAAGGGGCTTGGCTCTCACAGCCATGGTGGCTTGCCTTGGCCCTCACATGCCTGGCTTCATCCAGAAGGTTGTTCGCCTGTCTGATCTAATTAGCATATTATGCTTTTATTATTATAGATAGTTTTAAAAAGACCAGCTTACATTATTTTTCCTCCTGGGGTAGCAAGATGCTCAGTTAATAATGGAACACACTACTAAAGGCTGAAATGAATCTTTAACATTATCAGTGTCAGCATCTCTATTAGTTGGCCTAACTTGTACTTTGGAAAACAACAAGAAAAACAGGATAAAAATACCTAGCAATGACGACGATGTCCTCTCTGAATGCTTATGCACCTGCAGTAAATGTTGGAAAAGTGGCTGCAATTATTCAGACCGATGTGAGTGCACCACTTAGCCATTGCATTCCTCGTAGCTGTTGTGTTCCTCTCATCAACAGGCAGTGTCTGTGTCCCCAGCCATTGAGTCTGATCAGACTTGTGACTTGGTGTGACCAACAGATTCCAATAGAAGTTATAGTGTGCCAGTTCTGAGCCTCTTGGAAGGCCACCATGTGAACAGCACCAAACTAGCCTTCTGGGGGATGACTGATTATGTGGCGCAGATCTAAAGCTGAAGCCATCTCGGACCAGCACATCCCAACTGACCCAATAGCTGACCACAGACACATGAGTGACCTGGCCAAATCCAGGACTACTCAACTGAACCCAGACCTAACTGCTAACCCTGCGAATCATGAATAAAACAACTGGTTGTTTTAAGACTAAAATTTTGGGTTGGTTGTAAAGTGTCAAAACCTAACTGACTCAACATGTGAGAGGAACAATCATCTTCTAGTCTTTAAACTTAGTGTCCTTTTGTCAAAAGAGTCTCTAATAAAATGTTTCTACCTCACTTCATTTTACAGTCCTGCTTGTAGGATTTTATTCTTTACTAGAGGCCCAATGCACAAAATTGATGCAAGAGTAGGCCTTCCTTCCCCCTGCTGCCAGCACCGGCTTCCCTCTGGCACCCAGGACTCGGGCTTCCCTGCAGCCCTGGCTTTGTCTGGAAGGACTTCTGGCCTAATTAGCATATTGCACTTTTATTATCAAAGATAAAAAAAGATAGATAAAAAAAGCTTTCCTATCATTAGGAAAGCTTTCTGCCCAGCCAGCAAACACAGGGTGTTCTCCCACTGACCCCAAAAGCCCTATTTTTACATGACTGCCCTGAAAGGAAAACTGGCTTGGAAATTAATTTTTCACATTTATTTGTAAGCCATTTCAAATTTCTGACCTGTGACAAATCTTCCATAATGGAGAGCTGTACACAGTTGTGTGAGACCGTCAGAGTCCCTGGAATAAAAGTTGCACTTCACCCTCCAGTGGTGCAAGTACATGCTCCTACCTCATCTTGAGGTCTGAGAAACAAACTTTAATTTATGAAATCAGGAAGCTAAAAGGAACCTTGAACTCCTAAATTATACGTTCCCAAGAGAATTCCTAAGATAACAATCATACTCACCATCACCTGATGTTTGCATAATTCTTTTTTTTTTAATCTCTAGGAAATCTACAGAGAAGTCTGAGCAAATGGCCTCATAAGAAAGCTCTTCATGAAATAGAATAAATGAAAAACAGGTAAGGGAAGCTAGTAACAGGATCAAAAGTATGATGGTCAGGTGGAAGATACACAGGGGATAAAACAGATCTGTAGCCACACAATTTTTCAGGACTGAACACTCAGTAGTAAGATGTCTAATTCAGGTTTGTCACCACGAATCTCTTGGAAGGAGTTAGAGTCTCATTTTCCACATCTGATTCCTTTTTATATTAGAGAAAGTTTTCTCCCTTCTGTATCCAATCCCAATGCCGAACAGTTGCCACAATTGCTCTGCCCAATTCTCTGATTACAGTGGGAGTAGCCATTTTTCTGCCCTGCAGGAGAAGTGTGCAACTCTAGATAACTGCTTCTGAGAGCACCCATATATGTTTACAGCCCACGCAGTGTCTGTCTGGCCAAACTCTCACAAAGCTCCTAGAACTCAGTGGTGTGAAACAACCCACAATGACATTTTAGGCTTCAACCCTTGAGCTAAAGCAGCCCATGTTGGATATTGTTCTAAAGTGAAGCTCCAGATAAACTGGAGAACTAGCAAAGCTCTGTCAGATAAGAAATGGTGGAAGAAATTGGGCATTACCTAGACCAGTGGTCGGCAAACTGCAGCTCACGAGCCCCATGCAGCTCTTTGGCCCCTTGAGTGTGGCTCTTCCACAAAATACCACATGCAGGCACGCAATACAGGGCGACTGAAACTTCGTGGCTCATGCGCAGAAGTCGGTTTTCAGCCTGGGCGAGTCTATTTTAAAGAAGTGGCGTTAGAAGAAGTGGGGGGTGTTGGTCGGTCAGGCGACAGGAGACGCGGTGCAGGTGGGGCACGGGATACACAGCACAGGGGAGGCACGCATGGGAGAGTTGGAAGGGATCTACCTCAGCGAGCATACCTCAATCAGATTGAGGACGTTTTTAGCAAAGGCCAGCTTAGGAGTACCCTAATTAAGTTAATAACAAGGTACCTACCTATATAGTTTAAGTTTAAAAAATTTGGCTCTCAAAAGAAATTTCAATCATTGTACTGTTGATATTTGGCTCTGTTGACTAATGAGTTTGCCAACCACTGAGTCCTAGACAAATGAGATGATGATTCGAGAGGCACAAATGAGCCGATGGTAGGTCCAGCTCTTACCAGCTCCCAAGTGCAGACTGGTAAATGTGCAGGAATTTGACAAGCTGGTTGACATCACATTGGTAGTTTGATATACACTATGACAGGAAAATTTACACCATGGAAATGAACAAATGCTACAAATAAGAACTTTTTCTGAAAAGCTGATTACCAAACATTTATCAGCATATTATAGAAAATAGCTATCCTCAATTATTTTAAGGATTATCTTTAGAGAAATTATATTGGGTCATCAGCAATGCTTTGCAAAGCTTTCCAACAGTGTCTACAAAGGCAACTTTATCCTAAAATTCACTTGCTCCTGTTTCCTCCTTATTGATAATTTAATTGATTCATGACATGTCATTATTCCTGGGTAAATTAGGGGAGATATTTACATATGTAGCAGTTTCTCATAACTCAATTTTATGCAACTAATTACCTAAGTATAATGCTAAAATTTATTTTAGCAAGTGACAGATTGTAGGCGGATCTTAGAGAATATTCTGCCTTTCAATCTTCATAGATTCTGGAGTTGAAAGTAGCAGACCACTTTACTGAGTGCTGCCAAACGTTCCTCAGATCCCTCACCATCAAGGAGATTGTGAATGCCATCAAAAGAGCCAGGATTGTCACCCACAGGGAACATTTAAAACTAAGTTAAGAGCACAGATTAAGTAAATTCATTGGTGTCAACTTCCAGAAGGCAGTGTGTAAAGAAGTCAGAAAGAATGTGCAATAGGCATGGACTGCCAGCATTTACCAAATCTCCACTAAAAACAGCCCATTCCTTAGGTCCCTTAGATTGGTCAATTACCTCTGGGATAACCCTCTCAGACGTGCCTCCCACCTCCTGAGATCGGATTGTCCTGGGGCACACTAGCAGCTTGTCTTCTGAGCAACACCATCTCGGGTCATTAATTACAGCAGGAAAGAGGACTGGTGACTACCACAGAAGTTCTGCTGTTATATCAAGTGGGCTGGAGGAAGACATTGGCGCCAAGACCGGAACAAGTCCCCGCAGTTCATTCTTAGTGGCACATTGTAGGTTGTGTCTCTTTTTGGAGAAAGTCATCATGTCACTCTGTTGAGAAAAGAATGGTGACCAGCAGGGACACTTCTACAGTGAAATAATGTAGCCTATGCCAGACACTTGCTATCTTCCTTGGACCAGGGTGTAACAAACCCAATTAAGAAGAATGAGGGAATAGCTTATTTTGCTCCCAAAATACTGGGGCACACAGGACTTTTGCTATTCTCCTGGAGTGACAAAAAAAAAAAAAGCATCCCTTGGGTCATGTGACCCTGGAGGCAGCTCTCATAAGGGCGCCAAGTGGAGCCTCTGAAATCTGTAGAGATTTTTCTCTGCAAATGCAGGAGGAAAGCAAGTGGATGGATAAATAAGCATGGCCTTGCTCCTGGTCTCCTTGCTGGCCTTCCTGACCTTGGGCTCAGGATGTCATCATCGGATCTGTCGCTGCTCTAACAGGGTTTTCCTCTGCCAGGACAGCGAGGTGACAGAGATTCCCCCCGACCTCCCCAGGAATGCGGTTGAACTGTGAGTATCAGAGGCTGCGGGAACTGCCACGGCAGGCATTTGTGTGTTGGGTGCTGGTATTATTTTCACATTCGGCTGATAACTGCTGAGCTGAAATATTTCTGAATGCTTGAATAAAACAAACTCCCCCATCTTAACACTCGCGCCCCGTGTCTCTCCAAGGATTTTGGTGAGTGTTGGTCACGGTGTTTGTCGGGGACGAGTCATGCGGAAACCTGAATGTCTTTTCAACATATCTGCGCTTGGGTTCCATACTCTCTTTGGTGGAAAAGAAAAACTAAGAAAAAGTAGAAACTTAGAAGACCTAGGAATTAGAGGCAGGAAGACAGCTTTGATTTAAGTGGTATAGACTGTGAGTCTCCTGAGGACACTGAATTCAAGAATACAAGGGCCCTTGTTGCTTTGGAGGCAGGAGCAAATAATTCCCAAACTGAGATTCTGCTTCCTGGGGAGAAAGAGGGATGGAGGAGACAGGGGAAGGGGTGTGAAGGAAGGGAGAGAGAAGAGAAAAAGGAGCTGGAGAGGGAAAGGGAGACAGGATAATCTTTCATACAGGTGAAAATATATGATTCACAACTTTAGATTTTTACTGAACTGTTTCAAGAGAAAGTAGACAGACAAGGTTGAACAAGAACTTCAATATAATGTAACTCTATCTCTTTATTTTGCAAATGAGATATCTGGGGTCTGAAGAGTCAAGAGAATTGCCAAACTCTCACAATGAGTTGAGGCAGAGCCAAAACTAGAAATCAGGCCTTTTGACTCACATTCTACTGCTGTTTTCTCCCCCCGAAATCCCATGTCTGTCTACATTAGAGAAAGATTATTGCTTCCCCTGAGAACTGGTAACTTGTGGCTCAGAGATTATAGATATCCTTGGTGTTTTTAGTACAAGGATTTTAAACAGAAGCCACTATTCTGGAAGCCTGTTTTAAACCTGGTCCCCCCTTGAAGCTATGGATGACTCTTGCTTTATTGCAGAAGGTAGTCATCGCTTCAGTTCACTCAAACACATTGGTGTTGTATTTCTGAGTTTCACTCAGGGACAAATGGTCACAGACTTGGTTGGTCCTGCTGCTACTTTTTCCCTTGATAACCCAAGTCCTCGGTTCCTATCCAGAGAAAGCTGCAGTACAGGGAAAATAACTGGTCTGCTCTGTGTTTTGGCTACACTGCTTTAGATGAGACAGCTAGTCCTGATTATGGAAAAGTCAGTCTGGTCTACTAGGTAATAATAAGCACAGGAGATGGCCCATGTACCTGAGCTCCTGTAAGAAGTCACTTGCTTCTATGACTTTGAACAATTACGTAACCCCCTTTGAGCCTCGGTTTGTCACTTCTAAAGTAGTTTTAATCCAACCTGCTTGGTTGGATTGTTGTGAACACTAAAAATTATACCCACACACACACCCAAATACACAACCATTTCCATGTCTCCTGTCTCTTCTCCACTTCTTCCTATGTTTTTCCTGTGGGTCAGATAGTGACAACCGGTTAATAAAGCAGAGAGCCCCTAATGAGGTTTAATTTGGGGTGATGCTCCTCTATCCAAAACTCCCTTCTTTACTAGACTATCTGCTTTCTGATATCTTTTTACAAGAAGAGAATAATTAAAAATAGGGATAAAAAAGAGAAAACAAAAAAAAGGGCAAAAGGAAAAAATAAAACAAAACAAAGAGAATTTTTTTAGAAAATTCTGCATCAAAAACAGAAAGGAAAGGAGGCAGGGTGGAAGGAAAAGGAAAGAATAAAATTCACCCTCAAACCCCAAACCTCAGGCAGTGTTTGTATGTATGAGTTAGTGTGAGAGGAGCAGGGAAAGGACTTTTTTAAAAAGTCATACTAAGATATAAATGAGTAACTACATGTCTCTGCCCAAGAGCTTGCAACTGAGGAAAGAGATTGTAAAAGAGGATGTGTCCAACAGAACAGCAAAAACAAATGTCACACTCTTGACAAAAGCTAACCCATGGTCAACCCCTTACTTAGGGGTACGTAACAGTGCCCAAAGGTGCTAAAACTATGAAGGGGAAGAGAGTGCTTGCCTCTTATTGGCATTTTCCCCACCTGAGGGATGAGTATGGTTGTTTGAAAGCTTTGAGGACTAAAATAGTCCTCCCAGATATCTAATCTTGAGAGGATTCTTTCCTCTGCACACTCATTAGTAGGGCATGAGTTGAACCATTCTGAAGTTCAGATTGGCAATCTTCTCAGCAAGATGTATTGAGGAAAGGAAGATAAATGTTACTTTGGCAGTTAAACAAAAAAAAGGAGAAAATTATTTGGGGATATTTTTCAGGTCAGTTTGTTAATCTGATAAAGAGCAGATCAATTGCCAGGTGAACTAGAACTCAGACATTGTGGTAGGATGAAAGAGCAATTATTTTTGCTTCCTTAAAAGGACTGGACCAGATTTACCTGGAACACTGGTAGAAGGAAGATGAAGTGGCTTGTTCAACTAAGTCTTTTTAATTCATCTGCAGTCTTCCAAGTTTGGGTATTGACTTTAATGATGATCACATCAGGTGGAGGTTGATGGGCTTCCAGGATGGCAATTGCTTAATCCATCAACACGTCAAAGCGTCATTGTCAGTCAGGTTCCCCGGGGGAAACCTCTCCTAATTTTACCTTGTACATTTTCATCCTATCAGATTCTATCCACCTTGCAGTGGTCTCATTTTATATACCTGCCAGGTATTGCTAAAGATTTCTAATACCCTACAATCTACACATGCTGATATCAACAGCAAAAGCAAACAAAAGTATCATCAACAGGCAGGTGGATTCATTTACTGAGGGGCCCCTATTATTTGCTTCATGCTTTACACATACTACTTCATTAAAACTTCATAATAGAACTGCAAATTTTGTATTATTGCTCCATTATTCAAATGAGGCAAACTAAAGAACAGAAAAGTTCATTCAGTAACTTGAGCACAATCACCCTTGCAGCTCCCAGATGGCAGAGCTGGGATCCAAACTAGCCTATTTATATCTCCTCTGTGTGTGTGTACAGTGAAAATCTTCTGACTCCTTTCACTCCCTCTTCTTAAAAAAAAAAAAAGTGTCCATCCTGGCTGGTGTGGCTCAGTGATTGAGCGTCAACCCATGATCCAAGAGGTCATGGTTCGATTCCTGGTTGGGACACATGCCCAGGTTTCAAGCTTAATCCCCAGTAGGAGGTGTGTAGGATGCAGCTGATCAATGATTCTCTCTCATCATTCATGTTTCTCTCTCTTCCTTTCTCTTCCTCTCTCTGAAATATATATATATATACACAAGGGGCTCAGCCCTCACAGCCCTACCCACTGGTCATTCCGGAAGGTGGTTCTGCTGTTGGGTCTAATTAGCATATTAGCTCTTTATTATATATACTAGAGGCCCAGTGCACAAAAATTTGTGCACTCAGGGGGTGGTCCCTCAGCTCGGCCTGTGCCCTCTCGCAGTCTGGGACCCCTCGGGGGATGACTACCTGCTGGCTTAGGCCCACTCCTCGGGAGATTGGGCCTAAGCTGGCAGTCAGACATCCCTCTGGCAGCCAGGGAGCCCTTGGGAGATGCCCACTTGCCAGTGGGGAGCAGGCCTAAGCTGCAGTCGGACATCCTTAGCGCTGCTGAGGAGGCGGGAGAGGCTCCCACCACCACTGCTGTACTGGCAGCCATCAGCATGGCTTATGGCTGAGCAGAGCTCCCCCTGTGGGAGCGCACTGACCACCAGGGGGCAGCTCCTGCATTGAGCCTCTGCCCCATGGTGGTCAGTGTGTGTCATAGTGACCAGTCATTCCCAGTGGTTCTGCTGTTAGGGCCAATTTGCATATTACTGTTTTATTATATAGGAGATATATATATATATATATACAATGTCCTTTTGAATTTTGACCAGAGGTCAACAATTTTTTTTTCCCCATAAAGAGTCAGAGCGTCAGATAAATATTTTAGGTTTTACAGGCCAGTCAGTCTCTGGTGCAACTACTCAGCTCTGCCATAGTTGTAGGCAAGCTGCCTCAGACAAAATGTAAATGAATTAGCATGACTGTGCTGCAACAAAACCTTATTTATAGACACTGAAATTTGAATTTCATATCATTCTCACAAGTCACAAAGTATTATTTTTTTTATTTTTTTCAATCATGTGAAAAGGTGAAAAACATCCTTAGCTGATGGGCCTTAGAAAAGCAGGGGGCAGGCTATATTTGGCCCCCAGGCTGATTTAGACTATAGATGAGAGTGGTTAAATATGACTGGCTTAAGTAGGGTTTTAGCAGCCTGAGAGAACATGGCACCACAAAGAAAGTACTAAACTAGGTGAGCTGGGTTAGGAATAGAGGGAGTTCTAAGGCAATATTCACAGGTGGGCCTTTAATTGGTTCTGACAAGTCAGAGATGATAGAGTGTAGCATCTAGATTGTTTTTTGCTCTATCAAGTGGGCTATTGGCTGTACAATGGAAATTGTGTCTTCCAGAGTTGCTATGGGGATTAAGTGAAACCAGGTAAATAAAACGCCAAGCACAATGTCTCTCAGGTGTTGGTGGTGGTGATGGTGGTAGTGATGGTGGTGGTGGTGGTTGCTGTTGTCATCTGTAAAATACTAGGAAAAAAACACCACAGAGAGCATTCATGGTGATCAAATGAGTCAATAGATATGGAAATGCTTTGGAAAATTTATGTAAAGATCTTCATAACTCTGAGATAGTTCATAGTCTCCCACTTACTTAAAAATAACCTTCTCCTTCTCCTAGTGGCTGAAACACTTATTTTGTGTGCATTTTCTTTCTAATAAAATGTTTTCCTTCAGGCTTTCAATAGCTTTCAAGATCTCAGGGAGCGGGTTTCATTCTGACCATAGTCAACGGAATTTTGATGTCTGACTTATTCTAGGAATTTCACCTGGAGGCAGTCAATGAACCTAGAAAGGACCCTTTGATCTTGCTTTATTCTTCCTAGAGGTAGAATTCCTAAGGAGAATGTGAAAACCTATTCAAAATCTGAAATTTTAACTC